TGCTAAGGGTTGATTCACACTCAGTCGTAAGGGCACCCATGCCCGACTGAGGTACCTGCGACGATGACAGAAAGGATGTTCCTTTGTGGCTTCGGCAATCGAATGGCTCTGGATTGGATTCAATATCTTTGGTCTTCGTCTCTGCTGGTGTGCACACTCGTCTTTCTCCCTGAGGAGGAGGGATGTCTAGGCTCTGCAGTCGATGTGGTTCCCCCTGACTCGAATCCCTCAAGCTTCTAGGTTTAAGGGAGTCACTATGGATAATAACCGGCGTGTTTCTCTTCACAAGAACAGTCTGAACCATTAGGGCAGATTCAGGGACCGCCGAAGACTCTGGGATGTAAGGTTTAGCACCACAAGTGGTAGGCTGCATGTCTGTCTTACCCTTATTCAGAGCTTCTAAATCAAGGGTGTCTGACGTGGACGAGGGGGCTTTGGTTGGATTTGAGGTAGCTGTGTTGGAGATTCGTAGCACACTTGCAGGTGGTTCTGACACTGCTGTTGGGCCTTTGTTAGAACAAGGAGGATCTGCAGGTTGAGAGGCTGGAGTGCTGGGGTGGAGGTCAGTAGCTTTGGCTGATACATCATTCTCCTTTTCTTTAACCCCGCTCTCTTCTGCCTCACCATTCCCCAGCCTCTCAACGACCTCCTCCATCTCTTGCACAGTCTCGTCTAGCCTCTTGACGGCTTCATCTGCCTCAAAACTCTCTCTTTTCTCCTTTTTTCTCTCTGTGACAACTATCATTTTCTCATCTGTCCTGTTCTCTTTCAAGTCCAACGTGTTACCTTCCTCTTGGATGGTAAATGCATCATCTTGCTTACCACTGCTGCCAAGATTATCACACTCATTTCCAACGCTGCCACCCTGCCCCCCTGGTGAGCCCATACTGGTTAGCACAGAGGGCTTGGAGGTGCTGTCTTTACCTCCGTCATCGTAGATTTTCAGCTGTCCGTCAACATCATCACACACAGGTTCTCCAGTCATACACAGCAGGTCACCTTCATCGGCAGTCTTCTTGTCTTGCTGCGTTTTAGTACTGTCACAGCTGCCCTGCACACAATCCTCCAGTGTGTCGTTACAGAGTGGCGAGTCTGCTTTAAGAGGGCTGCCCTCTTTTGCGTTGTTGACCCCTGGACCCTGATCTTTGATATTTGCAGTAACTTCAAAATTTGTCTTCAGAGACACTGGAAGGATTTCATCGACATCGAAGGTGTCCGGTTTCAAATTTTCCTCAACATCCTCATCTGGAGTTGAATCGTTGATGGTGGTGATTGAGGACCGGCTTCTTGTGCTCCTCTGCTGTGACGCTGCTCCTCTCCCAGTGCCCCCCCTGCTCTTCCTCCCTCCGCGAGGTTTAGGAGGCTGGCCGGGAGGGGCGGACAGCCGCGTGCCCCGCAGGGATGCCCTTCGCCCTGGGGGGTGCTGTAACTCGGCACATTGGTCAGGCAGATTGCTCTGCTGTCTAAGCCTTGCAGATCCTGTTTTATTCAGGGCATGGTTAACTCTGCCAGGGGACCTCCCAGGGCCACGGCCAGCAGGCCCATTGACTCCTCTTCCGCGGTTGCTTTTGCCTGACTGTGTCTGTGCTCTGGGTGTGGACCTCTTCGGTTCTGCAGGTGTTTTCTGGGGTCTCTCCGTCGCTGCTCCCTGGGGTTTATTTGAGTTACAGGTTCTCCTCTTGGTACTGATAACTTTCTGGGCATTTTTTCTCTGAACAGGTGTCTGTCTCCTGGCGGTTTTGGTGGTGGCAGGCATGGCTGAGGGTGTGGAGGAGAGGATTCCTGGAAGCCAGCATGGGAGCCAACTGAATGTTTATCTTTTTGCTCAGCACACAAGTTCTTTCTTTTTTTTTTAAAAAAAGCTCCCTTTTTTGTGTTTTATTCCTTAAATGTACAACAGGAGGGTTGTTGGTGTGTAATTACAGTGCATGACCTAACAGGAAGGTGGAAAAGACAGAAATCAAAAATACAGATAGCCGCAGCACCTTTAAATGTATAAACAGAGCAATAACAACACCCACAACTGAAATTGACAAAAAACTACAAATAGCCATTGCAGGTTAAAATGTAAAGTCATGTGTATGAGTCATAATAACAAACACTAGATTACTCAGAATGTAAAAATAAGACAAAAATGAAATATCACAAATAGCTGCAGCACCTTAACTAGTTTACTCAAGGTGAAGAAATAAGACAGAGTCACCCTCAAATGTATTTTTAGAGTCATAATAATAAAGAGTAGTTTACACAAAATTAAGACATGGTCAACCTCAAAATTGGTTTTCAGGATAATAATCTTACTCAGAAACATTAAGTACAATTTGAGGGTTGGCAACATTTAAGTATAGAAGCTAAAACGCTAAATATACACAATGTTTCTTGACTTTGTCTGCTGGTGAATGACACTTTCGCCCCGCCTGAAATATCCTCTGGGCGAGCAAGTGTTGCAGTGTTAACGTCGATAAAACCAAACAATCCAATCTGTATGTAAAGAGAATAATAAGAGCAAATATATATGCAAGCCTTATAAACGCGTATAAACCTGCAGCTTTCCGAGTGGCTGCAGCAGTTTAAAGGGCAAACACGCTGAGGAGCGGGCTCTGTCCGGAGGTCGGATCCTGTTTTCGTGTCTGTGACTGGCGGAAGAAGAAGAAGGTTATTACCGTGTAAAAACCGCGGCTGCTGGTTGTTGTTATGATGTTGTTGTTGTTGTTGTTGTTGTTGCACTTGACCGCTGCCGTTCAAGGCGCCGCGTGGATACAAACCACAGGGAACCTGACTTTAGTGCGTGCGGTGTTGTTGCCCGGGAGGCTTTCTCCACACACACACGTTGACGGCACAAATGCTTGACATACCAGCGAGAGACACACGGTGCGAGCTGCTAATAATACTCCGCTCCGGCAGGACACCAACGACACCGTGGATCCGCTTCCCTCCTCGGCAAATATAGACCGAGCTGGCTGCTCTCTCGACGCTGACGCACGGACATGACACAGAGAAGAGCCTCGCGCATCCAGCCGCTCGTTTTGTTAATAGCGTTGCGCGACACCCGTTAAAACGCAAATCCCTCTTGTGTCAAATCCACCCAGGGCCAGCCCCCCCCGCTCACTCTCTCTCCCTCCACCAGACGCAAGCCCTCGGTCTCCGCTGGACACGAACCCCGTCCTCGGCTGCGGAGGGAGGGTGGAGGAGGGTGCGCTGGAAAACCCGGACTGCGGTCAGGAGAGCCGTCCTCCCTGCGCGGTCCAAAACAAGTGCCCCCCCGGATCCGGAATGCGCCGTTATGCTAAGTTTTACGGTACATGTTTGACAGCACTACTTTATCCGCCATTAATTTTTCTCTCTCTCGACAAACACGTGTCGTGAAATGAGGAAATTCATGTGGAAAGAAGTTTGAGGAATATTTACGTCCCCAGAACACAAACAATACAAGTTCACTCAACTGTAAATATATTCAGCGATAGGATGAGCAAACGACTGCTTCCGGCTTTCAAAATAAAATGTCAACGCAGTATGGACAAAATGCATGCTATGGAAATAAAATTGGGTTATATATATATATGAGCTTCGTGTCATCACTTTAAAATATATGCAACACTGACTTAAATGTAAGCGTTTTTATCTTATTGATTTAGAGAGATTGCAATTTAGAACTCCCACAACTGTAACTTGAGGTAATTTGAAGTTTGATACTTAGTTCAAGTATCAGATAGTTCAAGACGGTGGGGGCGAGGAGGGAGAGACGGTTCAAAAAATATAATTTCCCCCCCACTAGTAGTTCAAGACACTTGTACTGCTGGACTTAGTGCTTCTTGGAGAATGTGAACAATAAGTATTAAGTTTACTGTATAGTTTTGGAGTGATACAATGTCAAAGCCCCTTTTTTGAGCAATTCAGTCTGATCTTCTAACGTTAATGTGGAAGAAAACCAATTTTT